TCACGGTCGAGTTGATGAGAGATCAAATCGCTTTGATAAGTTTATTGCGGATTTCAATTAGTAAAACATATATTATAAGCAGCGTACCTATTTATGGTTTTTATTTTCAATTTTACTGTTCAAGCACCTACCTATGTATAGAATATTTTGCACTTGCGTAAGCGTGTCAAGACTAATTATTCATTAATATGAGATCATTTAGAATGAATAGTTATAAGAGTGCACGCACGAAGTGATAAATATATTTGAACTTACGTAAAAGTAGGCAAAAAAATAAAAATTGTGCGTTCATTCTTTGTGCGTATAAAAATTGTTTATTTATAATTTGTATACAGTAGAATACATCATATTAGAGGATAGAAAGTTTCAATTATACTGTTTGTTAAAATATATGACTGTTACCTATTTTAGACATCAATGGATAATTATTGTAATTAGCTTTACCGCAGCTCATCTATATAAATATTTGAACAAATGTAATACTGTTCTATTATTTTTTCTATAATCTGTTTTTCACTATTTTTAAATTCCATTTTATAATGATCATTTATCGATAAATAGCACGTCAACCATCGACACATGACCTGGTTAAGCCGTATATAATACATAAGGAATAAAGGAACACATTATCCGCACATTAGGTTTTCTGGATTCACTCTGATAATGTTTACACTATCGGTTTTTAGTTTTTACATATTACCCGCAATATATTTAAACGGTTTATCGAGAAATGGTAATCTGGCACTATTGAATTCATGTAAAGAAAACATATAATATAACCATTGAGGCTGAATTCAATACCATTCATGCTGATAGTTATGATGTTACGAAAACTGCAGACAATACAGATAAGACTCTGAAATCACGTATTTCACAGCTTTAGTTGAGATTCAAGATACACAAGTACGATGCAAAAACTAATGAGCTCAGTGGCAATCAGATTAAGTAATAACTATGGAAAAGCAGTTATTTCATAAACCATGAGCCGATCGGTAATAATATAGAAACTACGATAGCTGATAAACAGCATATTTTGAAGAGTTATTATGTCTTCAGATATAAAAATATATATATATATATATAATAACACATGGGTACAATCACTTTAAATGTAAAAATAATTAATAAATAACGATTGAACATATTTTTCTAACAGTGTGCAGAGCGACTCGACGTCATAATATATTCTAATAGACTTAATTGAAATTAAACTATAAGTTAGTCGTCATTCATTATGATGATAATAATATTATCTGAGCAAACGGCAGAGCACCATGTCGATTTCAAGCAGCATGCTGTGTATCTTTCCGTGTACCGATTTATCCGGCTTTTCACACAATCATATTTCTGATTTCTGACTTCCTTGGCTTTTGAAATGTGAATTATCGATTAAGCTAGTGTATTCGAACAAGGAAAGTTGATAAAAAAAAGTTACTCCGTGAAGTTTGACTTCGCTTTCGCCACACCTAGTGTTGTGCAACCTCTGTAGAAAATAAATATAATATTTCGTGCCACATGGACCGTCAGTAACCACACGTGCCACACGAAAATCTGCGCGTTCAGATGTTTTTATAGGTAAGTTTGACTGAACTTTCGTTATACCTAATGTTGTGAGTTTTGTCAAAAATAAATAATATTTCGTGCCACTTGGATCGTCAGTAACCACACGCGCCACACACAAATCTTTGCGTTTAGCTGTTAATTATAGGTATACATATACTTTAACCATTTACCATTAACAATGGTAGTGATAGGTGTGTAGTATATATTTAATGGATGAAGTGAAACAATAGCGCGCAGGGTGGTTCTGGAAGATAGGGTCTACAAATCTAACAAAAACAATGCTACGAGTAATGTCACTGGGAGTATGAGACTAGTCCAAATTAAAGATAAAAAAAAGTGGGCAGTGGGCACCGATATTTGCTGCTGTGTTGCACATTTTGTGTGGGTCACTATAATGGATGTATTGAATTTGGATCGAATGACATATGAAATCTATATAATAATAACATTTTTTAAGTACAAAAAAATAACTATATCGTTATTCTCACACTTAAGTGTCTAATTTCATCCAAATTTGAACATAAAATATCTATTGAAAATGATTGCGTTTCTATAATTTATAGATTTTTTGTCGAGGTATACAGTATGAACTACTTATCGGAACCTTGTTTAAAATTTTCAATTCTTAGTTATAAAAATTGAACATTTCATTTTTTTTTTATTCTTGTATCTAGGATTATTCGTTTATGGGTTTACTTCAAAAAAACCAAATCTATTTCGTTAAAATATATTTCACGAAAAATTTCCTGTTTTTCCTTAATTTTTTTTCCAAGACCCTTTTGAAAAGTACTGAAGACTTTTTATTTGAACCTCTCAAAAGTACCAAGTATATGAAATTGTCCATAAGAAACTACTCTCATTGTTAAATCAAATTATTATGTTGGCTACTTTCAGTGAAGGGAAATACGCACACACTCACCGTTGGCGTAAAATCAATTGATTTATCGCTCCTCTCAGAATTTAAAAATTAATCGTTTTTCTGAGAAAAAAATAGTTCATCGTCCACACTAAAAACAGGTACTCGTAAACAAATGAATTTCTAGGAACGAAATTAATTGATATAGAGCGAAAACATAATATATTCAACAATGTACTTACTTTTACAAATATGAAAGAAGGATTAATAATTCCCTCTTTACAATTATGAAATTCGATTAAATTATACAAACTATATTTTAATTATAGACTGTAATTTATCTCTATAATTATGGTTTTTATTTTCTCCTATCGATTTATTTTATGAATCAGTTGGTTATTTTCAGTTGAATGTCCTACAACTTAACACGATCAGTTTTTATTATTTGGGTAACAATTTATTTTAATTCCACGGGCTTTCACACGAGTTTTTGTCATTAAGGCCCCGTAATAGTTCATATTTTAAGAAACAAAATTTAAATAAAATATAAAGTCATGATGATATTACATTATGTTAAAAATTCGCATCAGCAAAAATGTATTTTTATAGTAGGTACCTTGACTAATAAGAGTGTGTTTCGCATACAAAATATGGTGTTGATGAATCAAAATTACCAAACATTCCATCTTATACTGTAATATAATGTATTATAGCCATTAACGGACCTGCAAACGGCGTTGTCTTCAACATTATGCAAAAGATACGAAATACCTAACTGGCGATCGGTGACGAAACATATTTATTATTATTTACAGGCAACGGAGAATAATATAAATGGTTAATGGACGACTCTAAGGCTATAATATTTTATTATATGAATTATGAGCGCTAATATAATATTATATAGAGTGTTCCAAAAGTCCCGTATCGCACCAAATATCTCATCAGCGAGACAAAAACAAATCAATATATAAATGCCATTTATTTGACAGTACCTGATCTATAATGGTTTAAATTTAAGTGTATACATTTCTTATAGATTATTATATTGAAAAATCGTATTCATATAATAATATTGATTAGCCCCGAAGTTATCAGAGTGATACTGGAGTACTTAACATTTCGGACACCCGTATATGGACGATTGTAAACTCCGCCATAGTACCGGTTAAGTTGGATTCATAATTTGATATTTTTAAGTTTAATACATTTTTTTTTTTATACATTATGCATAACAATCGTTTAATTTGGACGATTATTGTTATAAAAATTATGATTTCATTTAAAATAATAACATAATATCATAAAATTAATTATACCCTGTTGCTCGATTTTTTTCCCCTGTAGAATTTACATGAACTTAATTTTACGTATTTTTTTTCACTGACGGAGTTTACACTAAAAGTAAAAGTACTTTTTACTTACTGCATACCTACCATACGGATGAGATGATAATCTTCTACCGCAATGAAAAAATTATGAGAATGAACTGTTGTGAATAAGTGAAGTGACAATAGTACAATCAATTATTTAGTTATTAGTTATTACCAAACATAAATAATAACACTTTTAAAAATATTAATGCAATACACAAACGGCACAATAGCTAGGGCACGAACGTTCACTAGTCGGATGGGGAGGGGGTATCAAGTATGGGTGGTAACTCTGCCCTCTCACTATCGCACCTTTTTTTCTACACAGTTTCAACTGTTTGATGTTTCAGTTTAATGGTCATAATAATAGTATAATATTACGATTTACGACAAATTTAGTATCCAAATAAATATTAAACTTTATGAACGTATAATATTATGTTATTATTTTTATAAAGATAGTTAGGCATGATACAATTAGACAACAACGAAAATAACTGTTTTTAAGTTTATATTACTATGTAGGTAATATTTTGTTATAATTAAGTTTTAATTTGTTATCTATTCAAATTTTTAACAAGGCTGTTAATTATTATTAAAATTCAATACTGTTTAATAGTAATTAGTAATAAACAATCTAAGTGAATTTCAAAACATTATTTTAGTTGTTTTCTATGAGCATAAATATAGTTAATATGAATATACATAATTATGTACCCTAAAAGGTACTGTAAAAACTAAAAGTATAACATTAATTATGTTTTCTATCCCCCATCCCTGCTCTCTCACCTAAACAATTCTCGTCGTCCCCTTCATACACTACACTAGTTTAGTTTGTTTATTATACTTTTACATGAAATATTAATACTTAATAATAATACTCTACCATAGGTTAGGCATGCCTGCTTGTATATAGTATTTTAGTTTATCAGCTGACAATGTAGGTACCAGCTATTATAATACTATTGAGATCGAAAATCCCAAAATGGTTTCTAAAATGTCATAATATTTTGTAATATAATAAGTCATCACTTTGAACTATTCGATCGTAAATATTAATAGAATAACTGAGGTACATAATTAGCTGATAAACTATAATATTATACGAGCGGGTAGATCTCGACTACATGTCGTGTGCGAATTTATATAGCGGAAAGATCAGCTAATGACGTGCCGTGTTAGGAATGATATTGTTACAGACGAACTACCTTTCATTGTGCCGAGTTTCCGCATACGTCGAAACGCGTTTTCTGCTGATATAAAAAATACATTTAAAAAAAAAAACGTCTATATACTCGTTTTATACATTATATTATAACATAAAAGGAACAGAAATCCGTGTCAATACTGACGACAGTGATTATACCGACGTGACTATTATAATATGTGCCACGCGGGCGAGATAATGCAAACTAGCCAATAAATATATTTTTTATATAACTGCGCAGAACGTTATCATATCGTTATTACACGTACTATATGCATGATACACTGAAAGCGACAGGCTAGTTTCTTATCACGTATCCTCTGTTTACGAGGAAACTGCTGTAGCCGAGTGTTCATACGGGTACCTATAACATCGGTATTCGTCCGGAAGTGATGCAGATAACATAATAATATTATATTTTATAATAATAGGTATTATAACTTGCTGCAACGATTTGTGTGTTAAACGACCACCGAGTAAAACATACATATTAATATTACTATGACTTTAGCACCATTTAGGAAGGTACGCTGATTTTATATCTACCACTGAAAGTGTAACCAAAGGTGGCTCTAGGAGGAGGAGGGAGAGGGCTAGGGGTCTCGGCCTCTCCTCAAGCGCTATTTCTGAAAATTGTATACTGTGAAAACAAAATTTAAAAAAAAAACATTAAATTGACGTACGTTTTCTGAAAATTATGACTTAGACCCTCCTCCTCACAACCCCGCGTGTAACGGCACGATTTGAAATTTAAATAATTAAGAGTTTGGGATTTGCAAGTGTGTTGAGTGAGCAACCATGAGCCGATTCAAAAACAAAAACTTTCAGTTCCTAGAAAATTATGACTAGTCATTATTTTCACCGAGTTTTTCACTAAATAGAAACTGTAATAATATTTTAATATTATGTTTGACTCATGAATATCGTTATACTTGATTAGAACCAACGCACGTCGGAAAATGTATTTTGTTTTGCACCGGAAAAATCGGTAATGCACATAGTGAATCCGAAATAAGAATGATGTGCATGACATATCTTATCAAAATTACAAAAGAAAAACAAGAGCAACGTCAAACCACGTCAACTGAATCCAAAGAAATATTTCCAAAAGAACCAAAGAGCACTATTATATCTTTTATAGAGTCAGTAAATATTTCTATATTATATTTAAAACACATGACAAATCATTTATTTTCTTAATAATATTATATTATGTAAAGGTACCTATATAGTTATTCATAATTGTAAATAATCCTCTAGTATGCTTAATGGCGTACATTTAATATTATTATAACGGTACATTGGAAACCGAAACCATTTATTGGTATGAACAAGTTCCAAAAAATCTTCAATTATTATGTAATACAATTATTTAAATATTAACATTTTAAAAATCAGGGAAATAATATATTAATATAGTATTAGTAAAAAATCGACTGGAAATCCTATTGAAAATATTATTTGAAGCATTGCCTCAATTTCGTGCCCATAATATTGACCATAATACTGCCCAATAAATTGGCACAGGGCCGTACATAAAATCATGAATGTGTGCATTTTGTATTTTAACACAAATCAAAAGCCCCAGTACGTATAATTTATGTAGGCACCCTTCCAAAGCGTCAACCAATATACAATATGTTTTGAAGATAATTGAGTTAATTCTTCGAGGTCTGTATAATATTTTAATATGAATAAAATAAACTACCGTCAAAATGCTTCGATAAGCTATAGTGTGCATTATAATATTGTTTAGGTTCTCAACTTATATAATATAAATATATAATACAACGTAATATTTACAAATATTAGATATGACTGAAGGTGTACAACGGTACTAATCAGTATTAACACGTCTTGAACACTTGAAAAGCGGTGTTAACGAATCTATACTGTTGAAATAAAAATATGAAAATATTTACTCTGGTTATGTATATTGGGTATATGCTCAGATTTCTCAGACACAAATAAAAGCGTCCGAGGTCTAGAGACATTTATAATATCATACTTATCTAATAATCATAATATAATCAACACAACGCCGTCAACTTTTATTTCGGCGCTAGAAACTCATACCGATAAATTTTCTTTGGTTAGGTGTTATTTTATTATTAATTAGCATTTAGCCAATGAAACTTGTAGTAAAATCCAAAAATACCACTGAAATACCTTTAAAAACATTGTTGGAAAGTATTAAATATTTTAAACTATCATAACTATGATGGTTCTTATAAGATATGAGTGATATGAGAGGTGATTAATCCACATGAAAATTTTCATTTTAAAATAGATTTTATTTCATAGAAAACAAATGAATTTACTCATTGAGTACACGTGAGATAAGAGTGGATTTAATGTTCATTTTATTCATTAATTAAATATTTAAAATTTCATAACATATTTTTATACCCGTAATTAATAATTATCATTACCACAACGCACAAAACTACGAATTTCTCTTTATTTTCTTCTTCTGAGGCATATTAAAAACCATTGAGGTCCATTGTCGCAACAACAACATCCCTCCATTATACCCTATCCCTCGACAGAGTTCTCTGAAATAATACAATTCTACCTAGTGGAATATATAAAATATTTATCACTGTTATATACGAGGAGTGAGATAAAAATGTTTTTTTTTGTTTTTAATTTTGTATTGATCACGAATGAAATTTGGTTTTAGAGACTAAGCCATTAGGAATATATATATATATATATATATATATGAAATTTACAAATGAAAACATTTATCGTATTAAATAATATAACAATGGCTTGGCTTAGCAAAAAAACGTAAATTTAAATAATTTGATTTTAAGTTAAAAAACAACTCAAAATTGCATATGCAGCATATAAGCCAAAAAAAAGAGCAATAAAATACGAATAAAATTAAAATTTTAAATATTGTTGTATGCGAGCAATAAAATGTAAACAACGTGTGTATTGTAATATTTGTGGTGAATGATAATATTACGTAGTCAGTAATATAATATAAATTGTACTTCTGCTACTTTCTTGCGAGGACTACGATACCCGATAAACGGAGTCTTTCGTCCTTCCACACCGGTCAGAATCGCTGTATTTGTGACGAGGCGAGCGACCGATGTCTTAATACTTCCAAATTGGGTTTCCTCGGCAAGGACCCGGACCACAGTTGCGGATAAGTGATAATACCCTAAGTCCCCGCACGGAGAGGATTTACAGTTGCAGTGGACGGCGGTTACCCACACATATGTATACGTATAATGTATAACGTACGATTGTCTTCCACGGTCGACTCGGGTCCAGATAACAAATAGATCTATCTTGTTTTGGCTTTAATTTGACAGATTTTACGTTGAAAACAATTTGGACGCGGATCGAGGTGCTTCCGCGGCGGTATTTCGCCGAACCTATTTTAGTATGGGATAATTTGCTGATTCAATAAATTATTGAGCGTTGGTATCAGATTGTCTCTGTGCAGAGTTGACGTCCAGTGACTTATTGCATCTATACCTAAATCATTTTAAGCGTCGATATTGATAATGAGCATGCTCAATTAGCTCGGCAATTAATCAATCGTACTGTTCTCGTTTGACTAACCTTATCGATTCCCAATAAAAGAAAATTAAAAGGTCAATTTCGTGGATAGAGAAAACTGCAGCTTGCCAGTATATACTACGGATTCAATTAGTTTTTTTTTTTACATAAAACACGTTATAATAATAAAAAAAATATTTATGGTTACCACCATAAGCGTGTACCATGTACACAAAAAATTTTTAGCTATGTCCAACAATACCGTAACGAGGTTATAATTGTGTAGTGACATTTCCTGAATGCGATTAGAAGCAAAACGATACAAACAATATTATTTAGATGACAAATTAAATTTGAAAAAAAATATATTTATGATCCAATGAATTGTATAATGTAAGTGGGCTTGTAAGAAACAAAATATGTCACAAGCTTAATGTATATTTAATTTAAACACAATTTAGATAGTCAACTGTTTGTAGGTAGTAATTTATTTTAATTTAAAATTTAAATATTGATGACATTTAAGCTTTGGTCGGAGTAGTTAATATTATAATCTTTCTCTGTTCAAGACAACAGTGAAAATATATCTTCTACTGGCTAATTATTAAAATTACTAATGCATATTATGTATACAACCATATTTTGATGCCGGGCAAGATGAAAAAGAGTTCTTTAAACTATAACATAATTTACCTACCAAATACAAATCAAATACCATGTATAAATAATTTATACATGGTATTTGATTTGTATTTGTAATTATTATAATATATAATGTGTTTTAGCTTTTATTGGATACTATTTATTTTTAAATATAGTATTGTCGATTAGCGAGTTTACTTGTGATTTGTGAATATTAATTTTTAATAGCTAACATTATATTTTTAACTTTGAATAATGTTTCATATGCAAAAAACTTACTAAATATATTAGATTTTCCAACATACTCGATAATATTGTGTATATAATAATACGATGTGTATCAATGGTAAATTACATTAAATTATTATTTTTATGTACCTATGTTCCGCACAAACTTTTGAATAATAATATGTTAACCTTTTTTGTATACTTATTGCACAGGATTAATAATGACATAAAATATTAGTTACGTACTACTTCTTCGAGCAATAATATTAATAATAATAATAATTTGCATTAGTCATTACTTATTACAATGCTCTCCACCACGACAGCTATGTACTACTTTTGCCTATTCGTTACGCCGTCTTACTAAATATTATTATTGATTATTTTATTTTATTATCATTATCATGCAATAATATAGTATTGTTATGTCCTTACTATACAATGAATCATTTTCATAAAACAATTAAATTAAGGGACAAATACAATTACATAACAATGGTATTAGTTCAATGTAAATGACATCCGGATTTTTTGGTATTAAACAACATTCATAGAAGCGCAAATTGCGATAACATACACTTTAATGTTTGAGATAAGTATTTACAGGCCAGTTTCTCAGGAAGACTAAAAGTTAGAAATTAGTTCTAGAACTGTTTCCGTATTGTACGGAATACGGTTATCTATAAACAAAAATATGCCATCCATCAATATCTATGGCCGAAATCATTCAAATTTATTTAGTGATTGATACAAATATGCATATTTAACATA